ACCCGTCGCTAATTACGTCTCACTGACCCCGCATCTCTCCGTAAAGAGGACCCGTCGCTAATTACGTCTCACTGACCCCGCATCTCTCCGTAAAGAGGACCCGTCGCTAATTACGTCTCACTGACCCCGCATCTCTCCGTAAAGAGGACCCGTCGCTAATTACGTCTCACTGACCCCGCATCTCTCCGTAAAGAGGACCCGTCGCTAATTACGTCTCACTGACCCCGCATCTCTCCGTAAAGAGGACCCGTCGCTAATTACGTCTCACTGACCCCGCATCTCTCCGTAAAGAGGACCCGTCGCTAATTACGTCTCACTGACCCCGCATCCCTCCGTAAAGAGGACCCGTCGCTAATTACGTCTCACTGACCCCGCACCTCTCCGTAAAGAGGACCCGTCGCTAATTACGTCTCACTGACCCCGCACCTCTCCGTAAAGAGGACCCGTCGCTAATTACGTCTCACTGACCCCGCACCTCTCCGTAAAGAGGACCCGTCGCTAATTACGTCTCACTGACCCCGCACCTCTCCGTAAAGAGGACCCGTCGCTAATTACGTCTCACTGACCCCGCACCTCTCCGTAAAGAGGACCCGTCGCTAATTACGTCTCACTGACCCCACATCTCTCCATAAAGAGGACCCGTCACTAATTATTTCTCTCACAAGGGCTGTTAACACTTTTTATTCCTATCCCATGGAATGTAAAGGGGCAGTGTAAAAAGTTTAAAAAAAAAAAAAAAAAAAAAAAGAGTGCTCCAATCCTGTAGAAAATGTTAAAGCTTTGTCTATGGAGATTTTAAAGTAGTGTAGTTTGGTGCCATTGTGTGAGCATGCGCAATTTTAAAGCATGCCATGTTGGGTATCTATTTACTCAGCGTAACGTCTGTCATATTTTATATAAAAGGGTTTTTTTTTTTTGTTTTTTTCATATTTTACAAAGGTTTTTTTTTTCATTAAAGTGTATTTTAATAAAAATTGCATTTGAAAAATCGCGCAAATACCGTATGACAAAGAAATTGCAATGAATGCGATTTTATTTTCTAAGGCTTCTGCTAAAAAAGTGATATATAATGTTTGGGGGTTCGAAGTAACTTTTCTATTAAAAAAAACAAAAAAAAAACTATTTTTCCATTTGAGAGGAGTATCAGAATTGGCGTGGTAAACAAGTGGTAAGGTAAAAATGAAATGTTCTGCTTAATATTTTGAAAACCTGTTTGTGAAATGAAGATTGTGGAATATCTGGTGTGCTGTGTTGGGTGGATTATAAAAGGCACCAGAACAGTGATCTGTGGTGGGCTACTTTTCAGAGGGGGTTTGTCATTCGGTCGCCCCCTCCCTTACTGGCTGCTTTAACCCTCAAAATGCCGACCCACTGCACCACTCCTATGTTCATTGCACACAGTTGTATGTTGGTTGTGGTTCAGTCCATTTCAGTTGAATGGGTTGTGGTTTGGTGACTGTAATGCCTTCCGACTGCAGCGTGATGTTGAATTTTTGCCTTGATTGTCCATATGAACCCAGAAATGCAACCACTTTAGGCTTTATCCATGATGGTTTGCTTCTCAGTGCAGCAAACCTTCTGCTCCCCTGAAAAGTGATCTACAGTGGATCACCTTTCAGGGGCATTTGACAGATTGTTCTCGCCTCCTCCCTGCTTGCTTTAACCCTCAAAATGCCAACCTACTGCACTGTAACTACATTATATTGCCAAAAGTATTGTCCCCGCCCTCCAAATCATGTGATTCAGGTGTTCCAATCTCCTCCATGGACACAGGTGCATACAATCAAGCCCCTAGGCATGCAGACTGCTTCTACAAACATTGGTGAAAGAATGGGTCGCTCTCAGGAGCTCAGTGACTCCAAGCGTGGTCCCGTGATAGGTGGTCACCTGGGCAATAAGTCCATCCGTGTCATTTCCTGGCTACTAAATATTCCACGCTCAACTGTTAGTGGGATTATAACAAAGTGGAAGCAACTGGGAACAACAGCAACTCAGCCACCAAGTGGTAGGCCACGTCACATGACAGGGCGGGGTCAGCGCATGCTGAAGCGCACAGTGCGCAGAAGTCGCCAACTGTCTGCAGAGTCAATAGCTAAAGACCTCCTAAACTTGGTGTGGCCTTCAGATGAGCCCAACAACAGTGTGTAGAGAGCTTCATGGAATGGGTTTCCATGGCCGAGCAGCTGCATCCAAGCCTTACATCACCAAGTGCAATGCTAAGTGTCGGATGCCGTGGCATAAAGCAAGCCGCCACTGGACTCTAGCGCAGGGGTCTCCAACCTATGGCCCTCCAGCTGTTGAAGTACTACAAGTCCCATCATGCCTCTGTGAGTTTTGCCTGTGGCTTTCAGCCTCATTGGACTTGCAGTTCAACAGCTGGAGGATCATAATTTGGAGAGCCCTGCTCTAGAGCAGTGGAGACGTGTTTTCTGGAGTGACAAATCGTGCTTCTCTGTCTGGCAACTGCCAAACTCAGACATGTCCATCAGAATGCCAGATAGAGAACGGCAATCTCTTGTCTGGAAATCCAATGGAAATGTCTGCGTTTGATGGCAGGAGGACGGTACTTGCCTGACTGCATTGTGCCACGTGTAAAGTTTGGTGGAGGGGGATTATGGTGTGGGGTTGGGCTTGGCCCCCTAGTTCCAGTGAAGGGAACATTTAAGGTGTCGGCATACCAAGACATTTTGGGACAATTTCATTCTACCAACTTTGTTGGAAGAGTTTGGGGATGGCTCCTTCGTGTTCCAACATGACTGCAAACCAGTGCCCAAAGCAAGGTCCATAAAGACATGAAGGAGCCAGTTTGGGATGGAGGAACTTGACTGGCCTGTTTTTTTAAATCTTTGCTGCAACTGAGAGGCAGTATAAGGTGCAGATTTTTTGTGTTTAAGTGGGCAGTTGGGGTCCTGGCTGCCCATGTAAACAGGACCTCAAAGAAGGGGTCTCCAAACTTTCTAAGGAAAGGGCCAGTTACTGGTTGTTCAGGCTTTAGGGGGACTGGACTGTGGCCAGTGCGATTAGGAAATATCCCTGGTGGCAGTGGGAGTAAACCATGCCCCATTGTTGGCACTTAGGGAGGAATAGTGCCCCGTTATTGGTGTCTGTGGATGGAATGGTACCTAAAGGGCCACATCCGGCCTGCGAGCCACAGTTTGGAGGCCACTGCCTTATAGAGCCCCATTATAGTTTTGTATTAAACAGCCCTGGTTCGTTTCTATATTTAATGGTTGACATATACAGTTGGGTCCATATATATTTGGACACAGGCACAATTTTAGATTTTTTCAGGTATTTATCAAAACATATCCAAGCTCTAGTTCTATAATGGATATGGGTTGAAAGTGCACACTCTCAGGTTTAATTTGAGGGTATGAACATCCAAAGTGGAGGAAGGGTTTAGGAATACAGCTCTTAAGAGTAGCCACCCCCCCTTCTTCAAGGGACTAAAAGTAATTGGACAGTTGAATCAAAAAGCTGTTTTATGGCCAGATGTGGGCTACTCCTTTGTTATTTGTTCATCAATTAAGCAGGTAAAAGGCCTGGGGTTGATTCTAAGTGTGGGATTTGCATTTGGAAGCTATTGCTGTGAACTTACATCATGCGTTCAAAGGAGCTGTCCATGCAAATGGAATGGGCCCTTTTAAGGTTTCAAAAACCAAACAAATCCATCAGAGAGATCGCAGCAACATTAGGAGTGGCCAAATCAACAGTTTGGTCCATTCTGAGGAAAGAAGAACGCACTGGTGAGCTCAGCAACATAATGTAATATCTCCTGCGCTCCGGGACCCAGGCCGGTGGTGAGTAGATGGAATCAAACTCCAAAAAGAAAGGAACCACCGGAATAAACAAGGTCGTGCAGCTCCACATCAAGGCTGGGGAAGCCCAAACAAAACTGTGAAGGAGAACAACAAAAGAGAAGCGCACCGACCTTGCGCATTACCTCAGTAACCAAAAATTTATTGAATAAAAGAATGGTACTCACAAACCGCGAATAAAAACAAGCATGTAAGTACTCAAAGGGACTTTAGAGGCAAGATGCCAATGCGAATCCCATCATGGAGGAAGCCACTCAGTACAGCTGACGCGTTTCGAAGGACATGCTTTCTTCCTCAGAGCTCAGCAACATAAACAGACACAGACGTCCATAGAAGACAACAGTGGTGGATGATCGCAGGATCCTCTCTTTGGTAAAGAAAAACCCATTCACAACATCCAGACAAGTGAAGGACACTCTCCAGGAGGTGGGTGTGTCATTGTCAAAGTCTACAATCAAGAGAAGACTTTACGAGAGCAGATACAGAGGTTTCACCACAAGGTGCGAACCATTCATAATCCTGAAGAATAGAAAAGCCAGATTAGACTTTGCCAAAACAGATCTAAAAAAGCCGGACCAGTTCTGGAAAAGCATTCTTTGGACGGATGAAACTAAGATGAATCTGTACCACAATGACGGGAAGAAAAATTGTGGCGAAGACTTGGAGCAGCTCATGATCCAAAGCACACAACGTCATCTGTAAACCATGGTGGAGGCAGTGTGATGGCATGGGCAGAGGCAGGGTGATGGCATGGGCATGCATGGCTTCCAGTGGCACTGGGTCATTGGTGTTTACTGATGATGTGACAGAAGACAGAAGCAACCGGATGAATTCTGAAGTGTTTACAGATATTCTGTCAGCCCAGATTCAGCCAAATGCAGCAAAGGTGATTGGACAGCGCTTCACAGTACAGATGGACAATGATCCAAAACACACTGCAAAAGCAACCCAGGAGCTTTTGAAAGAAAAGTGGAATATTCTGCAATGACCGAGTCAATCACCTGATCTCACCCCATTGAGCATGCATTTCACTTGCTGAAGGCAAAACTAAAGGCAGAAAGACCCACAAACAAAGAACAACTGAGGACAGCTGCAGATAGAGCCTGGCAAAGCATCAGAAAGGAGGAAACCCAGTCTTTGGTCCGCGGTCTCTGGCCATCCCCTGTACCGTGTCCGCAGTCTCTGGCCATCCCCTGTACCGTGTCCGCAGTCTCTGGCCATCCCCTGTACCGTGTCCGCAGTCTCTGGCCATCCCCTGTACGTGTCCGCAGTCTCTGGCCATCCCCTGTACCGTGTCCGCAGTCTCTGGCCATCCCCTCTACCGTGTCCGCAGTCTCTGGTCATCCCCTCTACCGTGTCCGCAGTCTCTGGTCATCCCCTCTACCGTGTCCGCAGTCTCTGGTCATCCCCTGTACCGTGTTTGCAGTCTCTGGTCATCTCTTCTACTATAGCCGCAGTCTCTGGCCATCCCCTGTACCGTGTCTGCAGTCTCTGGCCATCCCCTGTACCGTGTCTGCAGTCTCTGGCCATCCCCTGTACCGTGTCTGCAGTCTCTGGCCATCCCCTGTACCGTGTCTGCAGTCTCTGGTCATCCCCTGTACCGTGTCTGCAGTCTCTGGTCATCCCCTGTACCGTGTCTGCAGTCTCTGGTCATCCCCTGTACCGTGTCTGCAGTCTCTGGTCATCCCCTGTACCGTGTCCGCAGTCTCTGGTCATCCCCTGTACCGTGTCCGCAGTCTCTGGTCATCTCCTGTACCGTGTCCGCAGTCTCTGGTCATCTCCTGTACCGTGTTCTGGTCATCTCCTGTACCGTGTCCGCAGTCTTCCCCTGTACCGTGTCCGCAGTCTCTGGTCATCCCCTGTACCGTGTCCGCAGTCTCTGGTCAAAGTCTCTGGTCATCTCTTGTACCATGTCCGCAGTCTCTGGTCATCTCCTGTACTGTGTCCGCAGTCCATTGGTTCAGAATATTTTTTTTCTTGTTTTCCACCTCTAAAATCTAGGTGCATCTTATGGAGCGAAAAATACTGTTGTTTTTTTTTTTTTTTTTATAAATCTATATACACCATCTGGTCTTATTCTGAGGGAAATTATCCTGTAGTCCTCATCTGCCCCCACAGCTCCTGCATTTCTACCTGCCTTATCCTCCATAAGTGTAAGTCCCAGCCACAGGAACTTGGTCAGAGCTTGGGTTTTAGGGGCTCTCATTCCTTTCACATCCATTTTATAAGCGCCACTGAAGGGATCCCCTCACTTTTAGCAATTTCTAGTTTGTGCAAAACAGTCCTAGATATGGGAATAGATTGATATAAATCTGCTATGCTGGGGGAAATAACCCCCAAAAAAACTATAATCCATTAGGGTAGTCTTCTTCGAGATGAGGCGCTTGGACGAGATATGACTTTAATATACTCACCGGTCCCTTTATTAGGTACACTCGGGGTGTATTTACCACAAGGCAACCAAGGCATTTGCCTAGGGTGGCATTTTTCAGGGGTGCAGTGCTGCCCCCCAGAAAAGAAACACACCACATGGGGACCAAGTGGGATCCAAGAGAGGCTGTGGGCTGCTTAACGGTGTATGCAGAACCCAACTCTCGTTCCTGGGGATGTCCATGAGCTGTGAAGGTGTCTGAGTTTTCCTTGCTCTTGGGGGGGGAGGGTTGTGGTGGATGTATGTGGGCGGTGGTGGTAGTGGAAGTCTCGTCAGCTGGGGTGGGGGGGGGGGTGTTGGTCAGTGTCAGACTCTCTCCTTTGGGGGGGTTGTTGGTTGGTGTTATGCTCTCTCCACGCTTGAGGGGGGTGGTGTTGGTTGGTATCAGGCTCTCTCTTTCAGAGGAGATTGGAGTGGCCGATTTCTGTGTTGCCTAGGGCAGCACAAAACCTAAATACACCACTGGGTACACCTGTTCAATTGTTATGTAACACTAATTGCTGATCGGCCAATCCCATGGCAGCAACTCAATGCAATTTAGATGTGGTGAGAACTGAGCATCAGAATGGGAAAGAAAGGGGATTTAAGTGACTTTGAACGTGGCATGGTTGTTGGTGCTAGAAGGGCTGGTCTGAGTATTTCCAAAAACTGCTGATCTACTGGGATTTTCACGCACAACCATCTCTGGGGTTTACAGAGAATGGTCCGAAAAGATCCAGTGCGCGGTAGTTGTGTGGACAAAAATGCCTTGTTGAGGTCAGAGGAGAATGGGCAGATGCTAGGAAGGTATGGCCAGATGTGGGCTACTCCTTCGTTATTTGTTCATCAATTAAGCAGGTAAAAGGCCTGGGGTTGATTCTAAGTGTGGGATTTGCATTTGGAAACTATTGCTGTGAACTTACATCATGCGTTCAAAGGAGCTGTCCATGCAAATGGAATGGGCCCTTTTAAGGTTTCAAAAACCAAACAAATCCATCAGAGAGATCGCAGCAACATTAGGAGTGGCCAAATAAACAGTTTGGTACATTCTGAGGAAAGAAGAACGCACTGGTGAGCTCAGCAACATAATGCAATATCTCCTGCGCTCCGGGACCCAGGCCGGTGGTGAGTAGATGGAATCAAACTCCAAAAAGAAAGGAACCACCGGAATAAACAAGGTCGTGCAGCTCCACATCAAGGCTGGGGAAGCCCAAACAAAACTGTGAAGGAGAACAACAAAAGAGAAGCGCACCAACCTTGCGCATTACCTCAGTAACCAAAAATTTATTGAATAAAAGAATGGTACTCACAAACAGCGAATAAAAACAAGCATGTAAGTCCTCAAAGGGACTTTAGAGGCAAGATGCCAATGCGAATCCCATCATGGAGGAAGCCACTCAGTACAGCTGACGCGTTTCGAAGGACATGCCTTCTTCCTCAGAGCTCAGCAACATAAACAGACACAGACGTCCATAGAAGACAACAGTGGTGGATGATCGCAGGATCCTCTCTTTGGTAAAGAAAAAACCAATTCACAACATCCAGACAAGTGAAGGACACTCTCCAGGAGGTGGGTGTGTCATTGTCAAAGTCTACAATCAAGAGAAGACTTCACGAGAGCAAATACAGAGGGTTCACCACAAGGTGCGAACCATTCATAATCCTGAAGAATAGAAAAGCCAGATTAGACTTTGCCAAAACAGATCTAAAAAAGCTGAATGGGCAGATGCTAGGAAGGTAACAGTAACTTATGTCTATATGGACCAAAATCTCTGAGGAATGTTTCCACCATCTTGTAGAATCTATACACGAAGAATGAAGGCAGTTCTGAAGGCAAAAGGGGGTCCAACCCGGTACTAGCAAGGTGGACCTAATAAAGTGGCCGGTGAGTGCACAAATATCTCTTGAGTGGTGATCCTAGCATAGGGGAAAAAATCGTTTCAGTCTCAGATCTCTAAAGACGTGACCACTCAAAGTTGGATGAGAAGCAGTTTACCCTTAAGCTGTGTAGGGGGGTTCTGTTAGAGTGAAAAGGATGTGGAGCTCCCTTCCACATTTGTGGCGTCAGCAGGGCATATCGATAATTAGGCGCTATGTAAATCCTGTATAATAATAACAATGAAAAATTCTTAGATGGGTATCTGGCCGAGCATAATATACAGGGATATGGGAAGTGGTAAAGGCATAAATGTATACACACCTATACACCCACACAAGTTGAATTAGATGGACTGATGTTTTGGCAGACTATATACACTGCTCAAAAAATATAAAGTACACTTTTTAATCAGGGTATAGCATGAAGTCAGGTAAATGCCTAGGATATGGATCTGGTCAGGTAGTAGCAGAGGGGGTTGTTAATCAGTTTCAGCCACTTTGGTGTTAATGAAATTAACAACAGGTGCACTAGATGGCCAACAATGAGACGAACCCCCAAAACAGGAATGGTTTTATAGGTGGAAGCCACTGACATTTTTTTTCCCTACTCCAACTTTTCTGTCTGTTTTTATTTTTTTTCACACTAGTTTTGCATTTGGCTAGGGTCAGTGTCACTACTGGTAGCATGAAGAGAGACCTGGACCCTACAGAGGTTGTACAGGCAGTCCAACTCCTCCCGGATGGCACATCAATACGTGCCATTGCTAGAAGGTTTGCTGTGTCTCCCAGCACAGTCTCGAGCATGGAGGAGATTCCAGGAGACAGGCAGTTCCTCTAGGAGAGCTGGACAGGGCCGTAGAAGGTCTATAACCCATCAGCAGGACTGGTATCTGCTCCTTTGTGCAAGGAGGAACAGGATGAGCCCTGCCAGAGCCCTACAAAATGACCTCCAGCAGGCCACTGGTGTGAATGTCTCCAACCAAACAATCAAAAGCAGACTTCATGAGGGTGGCCTGAGGGCCCGACGTCCTCTAGTGGGCCCTGTGCTCACTGCCCGGCACCATAGAGCTCATTTGGCATTTGCCATTGAACACCAGAATTGGCAGGTCCACCACTGGCACCCTGTGCTTTTCACAGATGAGAGCAGGTTCACCCTGAGCACATGTGACAGACATGAAAGGGTCTGGAGAAACCGTGGAGAACGTTCTGCTGCCTGTAACATGGTTCAGCATGACCGTTTTGGTGGTGGGTCAGTGATGGTCTGGGGAGGCATATTCACGGAGGGATGCACAGACCTCTACAGGCTAGACAATGGCACCCTGACTGCCATTAGGTATCAGGATGAAACCCTTGGACCCATTGCAGATCCTATGCTAGTGCAGTGGGTCCTGGGTTCCTCCTGGTGCAGTGGGTCCTGGGTTCCTCCTGGTGCAGTGGGTCCTGGGTTTCTCCTGGTGCAGACAGTGCCCGGCCTCATGTGGGGAGAGTATACAGGCAGTTCCTGGAGGATGAAGGAATTCATACCATTGAATGGCCCCACGCACGCCTGAACTAACTCTGATAGAACACCTCTTGGATATCTTGTTTCAGTCCATTCAAAGCCGCCAGGTTGCTCCTCAGACTGTCCAGGAGCTCAGTGATGCCCTGGTCCAGATCTGGGAGGAAATCCCCCAGGACACCATCCGTGGTCTCATTAGGAGCCTCCCCCAACGTTGTCAGGCATGCATACAAGCACGTGGGGCCATACAGACTACTGAGGACCATTCTGAGTTGCTGCAATGACATTTCAGAAAAATGCACTAGCCTGCTGCATCATTTTTCCACTTTGATTTTCGAGGTGTCTTTGATGGAAATGATCACCCTACAGAGGACTGAATTCAAAAGATGGGGCATCCTTACGTTCCTAACACATTATCCCGTCCATATCAGTATAGAGATCCAGCAGGAGATTTTTTTTCCCCATTGTGCTTTCAAAGTGTTCCTTTAATTTGTTTTGAGCAGTGCAGTTCCATGGTTGGTAAGGCTGAAGAAACGCTAAAAGCCGTGACCTGTGGAACCCGCCACATCATCTTCAAAAGAAAAAAAAAACGCATGGTACTGAAAAGGCTTAAGGGAGAAAAATTCCCGGGGACTCGCGGTTATAGAAAATGTTCTAGTTTCACTGGAAACCCTCTGAAAGCCATAATACAAACTGCCTTGTAATCAGTTGGGCAATGTAAGAGGACACTTGTGCAGCACTTTAAATTGTCATACAGCTGCTCTGTCACATGTAGCGGCTCTCTCTCATCTGTTGTCACCTGACATTGTTACCCCCCCCCCCCCCCCATCACTGTCACAAGGAGCAGGCGTGACCACAG